CAGTAAATTGGGCTCTGGACAACTTTACATTGACACCAGGACGCACAGAAGTTTTAAAGCTTGAGTCGACGACTCATACGCATTGCTTTCATATTTCATTGATGAGGAGGAAGTACCACTCAAACAGCTTCTTCTCCAGGAGTATCGTATTGAGGGTAAGACTCTCGAGTGAAAACTTTCCCGATCAGTAAATATCTTAACCTCTTCAAGTCTAGGGTTAACCGTTATCTATCCTGCATACCCTAAATATATACATCTCTTACTCCCTCAGGAAACGCACCTGCAGCAACCCCATTTAATAACACTCTACCTTGAGTGGCTCTTTGGCCTTGGCTGAACAATAGTATGGAAAAAAACGCGGAGAACATAACAGGAAATCAATTCAGTATCTTTCCCAAGAGATCATGGCATTTCACAGGTAATAAAAAGGGAAGCTGAGGAGAGCCATAATCACAATGAAGGGATATGGCGTAAAAAGGTATAAATTACAATAGCTCCCCTCGCATTGATTAGATTTATTGATGTTGTTGCTGTCGCTTACACATTTTTAGGCTTTTAAATTTCATTTAGCGTTATTAGTCTCTTCTCTTAGGGTTCGTGTTTTTTCAATGCTTCCAAACAACATCGGGCTTTCTCAATTCAGACGAAACCTTTTGCTTTGTGTCGCCTCAAAAAAGAATCGGGGGCAAAAACCGCCAAGCATTAATGGCACTAAATGGAAAATGACTTGTCGAAATGGCTTGTCAATTCACAACAACAAAACTGGGAAGAATAAGGAGGAAGCGAAAGAAAAAAAGGTCGACTATCAGACTTAAGTGATTAATAAATAGTGCCTTTCTGCATTTCACATGATGATTGCATTGTTCGAACAAACTTAAGCAATAATGAAAACCTGGCAAAAATATTGAAAAGAAATTAAAATAAATAGAAAGCCTAGATAATAATAATAATAATAATAATAATAATAATAATAATAATAATAATAATGATGATGATGATGGTGGATTAGCGATAATATTAATGAAGATATAAAAATATAATTAAGGTACCGTTTACAGCAATAACGTAATAATATGAATCCTGATGATGATGATGATGATGAGATAAAAATTTACTAATATGAGTGCTGATGATTCTGATATGGCGTGGTTGGTAATAATGATATTTATAGAGAATATATAGAATAATAATTCATGTGTAATTAACAAAACAACAGGCTACTAATATTAGTACTACTCCTACTACTATTACTAATAATGATAATCTCTGTCATGTTGTCGTTCAAACAGATTACCCATATTATTAAACATGGTGATAATGATGATGAGATAAAAGACATTAATATTGATAGTGCTGATGATTCTGATATGCTTGGGTTAGTAATAATGATATTAATAGTAAAGATATAGAAAAATAATACAAAATATACTACTGCTACTACTACTATTAATAATAATGAAAATGATAATCTTTGGCATTTTATAGTTCAAACAGATTACCAATAATATGATAATGATGATGATGATGAGATAAAAGACATTAATAGTAAAGATACAGGAAAATAATTCAAAAGATACTACTATTGCTAATAATAATAATAATAATAATAATAATAATGACTAATAATAATAATAATAATAATAATAATAATTATAATAATAATAATATAATATAATATAATATAATAATAATAATAATAATAAATAATAATAATAAATACTTATAATAATAATAATAATAATAATAATAATAATAATAATAATAAATAATAATAATAATAATAATAATTATAATAATAATTATAATAATAATTAATAATAATAATAATAATAATAATAATAATAATGACTTATAATAATAATAATAATAATAATAATAAATAATAATAATAATAATAATAATTATAATGACTTATAATAATAATAATAATAATAATAATGACTTATAATAATAATAATAATAATAATAATAATAATTAATAATAATAATAATATAATATAATAATAATAATAATAATAATAATAATAATAATAATAATAATAATAATAATAATAATAATAATAATAACTTATAATAATAATAATAATAATAATAATAATAATAATAATAATTATAATAATAATTATAATGACTTATAATAATAATAATAATAATAATGAATAATTAATAATAATAATAATAATAATTATAATAATAATTATAATGACTTATAAATAATAATAATAATAATAATAATAATTATAATAATAATTATAATGACTTAATAATAAATAATAATAATAATAATAATAATAATAATAATGACTTATAATAATAATAATAATAATAATAATATAATAATAATTATAATATTAATAATAATAATAATAATAATAATAATAATAATAATAATAATAATAATAATAAATAAATTAAAAAAGAAATGACTTATAATAATAATAAATAAACCCAATGTTGAAAAGTAATAATAATTAAAGTCTGAAACTGAAGGCTTTTATTCTTGCAGCGAAGACCAGAGTCTTTTCACTATTTTTCAGGCAAATATCATACATAATAATGTCCAAAATGCAGGTTCTGTGACAAATACCAAAAACAATAGACCATCTAATAGCCCCCAAATGAATATAAAAATCGTCACGATAGAGGGGCAAACTTTACAAAATAAAATCGCTATTCTCGGCCAGCGCCGGTTACAGAAATAGAAGATGTCACCATTCTAATTATACCATCCACACAGACAGAAAAATTGAAGCAAATAGGCCGGACATTATTGTCAAAAAACCAGGAAAAAACTTGCCTACTAATTGATAATATGGCTTGTCCAGCGGATTGTAACATAGCAACCAAGGAATTTGAAAAACTATCAAAATACAAAGACCTAAATTGAAATAGAAAAAATGTGGAAATTGAAAACAAGAATAATACCAGTGGTAATAGGTGCACTTGGAATTATAAAAATGGAACAAAACAACACATTGAAAAGAATCCCTGAAACCCCAGCTTAAGAGACATAGAAAATTGTCTTATTAAGTACAGCACCACTAAGGAGAACTTATGTAACGCTTTCATCGGAAAAAAAAAAAAAAAAAAAAAATTAATTGTGGCCATAACAACACACCACGACCTGCCTTAGGTCTTTCCGCAGACTTAGTGGTAGAAAGAAATCGAATGATGATGATGATGATGACAATAATAATAATAATAATAATAATATTCTCTGACATTTTGTAGTTTAAACAAATTAGCCACTTCAGGACAAACAAAATATCGCTGTTCTTGCCGACTTGAAAAAGCTGAAAATCAAGGGAAGATATCTGGACCTTATGTCAGAAGTGAAAGAAAGTTGATGCCAGCCGTGATCATCATTAATGTTCTACATAGAACAGTCTTGAAGAGCCCGATTAAAGGTTTGGAATAATTGCAAATATGTCAGAATCCAGAAAGGAGCACTATTAAAATCAGCTAAAATACTGGAGACACAACGGAATAATGGTTGAGGAATCGTAGCACCGAGTTTGAATTACAGTCGAGTTCATTACATTCACTGGCGTCCTTGGGAAATATTGGAATCTATCTCTTCCCCCCACCCCAGCTATTGTTCTTATTCTTTTATGCATTCACATAAACTTAAGCGCATGGCCATGGCTCTCCTCAAATTCCGAGCTGTTTCTTCGGTTTCTCTTCCTTTCAGGGTGCGCGCGATGTTTGAGATCATTATGCATTTCATATTCTAGTTTTATCAAATGTTGGTACGTATTTCAGTACTTCTGTTCCCTTCATCAGCCTCATATTGATATTTATTACGTATAAAAATACATAATTAGGGCACAAGGCCAAAAAAGGGGAGGGGTTGAGGCTGTTCAACACTATCTTATAGCGATTTTAGATGTGGCTTAGATGTGGCACAAGGCCGAAAGTACGGGGCACCTAGTGAGGATCGAACTCACTACTCAGTCGTAATTGATCTAGCAAGACAAGCTTTCTAACCATTACACCATGTCGAGGTGCCCTTCAGCACTCTCTTATACCTAGCTAATCTGATTCACGACCCATTCACACATTACAATTTCTACATCTACCGTAAAAACTCGTCCGTCACCAATCAATCCTCCATACACCATAATACCGCATTCTCTCAAGGCGGACCTACAAAACGCGCCCCATGCCATAAAAATTTAAACATCAGCCTAATATTTATATTGATTTCATTCTTAATATCGATAGCAAATATAGAGTGACGACTTGTACCGTGCAATGTTTAAACTGGTACATCTCCCTTGTTAAACACACGGCTTTACTAATAATTTTCTTAATAATGTACTTTTCAACCCGTGACCATTCCAATATCAGTCAATCAGTTATGTGTCATGCGTGATACACGCTTAAATAGGTGACTGATAAGGCAGATTTTCCCGTAGGAGGTTGCCATTTCTTTCTGCGTTAGACCAGTTGCCATCCAAGTTTATAGAACCTGCTCTGTCCTGCTATTTACCCAGAGCTGTGGAGAGGAAGAAGAGGTTTCACACCTTTCCCAAGGGTATTAGCACGTAAGTGAATGTAATGGATTCGACTGGAATTCGAACTCGGCTCTCCGATTCCTCAATTCGACTCGCTATCCATTACCGTGCCAAAAGTAACATACTCTCACATAAAAAAAGGTCTTCAACATATGATTACGTCATGAAATATGATTTAACCCCCCAATACACAGAATTATCTTCAGTTAAGATACCCTCCTGATCAATCGCTCTCTGAGATTTTAATTTCAAAAGGTCACTTGCAGTTTAGATACACATTTGTCCGTGGGTCACGAAACATGGTTTAAACCTTCACTACAAAGTATTGCCTTTATGTAAAATGTGTTATAGATAAATCCCACTTTGTGTCGCATTGTCTTTTTGTCTCTCTTCGTTCACTCCCCTCTTTCTGTTTTACTCTATATGTCCTTCTCTCGTCCTGTTTTAGTCACTATTTTCCTCTCTCTTTCAGTTTTACTTTTTATGCTACCCTCTCTTTATTTTTTACACTCTATGTCCCCCCCCTCTTTCTTTTTTCTCTCTCTATCCTCCTCTCTTTCTGTTTTACTCTCTCCCTCTCTCGTCCTGTTAGTCTCTATTTTCCTCTCTCTTTCAGTTTTACTTTTTATGCTACCCTCTCTTTCTTTTTTACACTCTATATCCTTCCCTCTTTCTTTTTTACACTCTATGTCCCGCCCTCTTTCTTTTTTACTCTCTATTTCCCTCTCTAATTCTCTCCTGACAAGCGTATTAATATATAGATTTTTACAAAGAGAACAGTTCAGTAATTCAAAATTCTTGCAAGAAATAAGACAAGGATTGGTTTGCGCAATAAGTTTGTTATAATTCTACAAAATTAAGTTTACATCCTTCGAGACTGTCGTATTTATCTTGTTTATATAAATTAGGCTCCATAGTTTTAGCAACCCAGAAATATATATACGTTTTTGTCTACAAATATATACTAAAACTGGGTTGGTGATAGCTGGCCATTTATTAAACAACCATCAATGTTCATATAAGCAAATCAGATTTTGACTTGAAGATTTTTAAGATCATTTTATATTATGTTCTGACAGACACCCCTCTGCAAGCAGAAGGAATAAGTGTTAGGCTTAAGCCAACCTTTGATTTTCATTTTAGTCGAAATGCACATTTCTCGTCCTCGATTGGGCTCCGATGAGAGAGGATTGATAAACCAGTTAAGAACTATTTCTTTTTGCTTATTATGTTTTTGATTTCAATAATAACCATTTTATCCCATAATCCCCTAGAAAGGCATTAACAACTTTTTGTCCCTCCCCTTTTATGCTAATCTTTCCTCTTGCCACTTTAGCACGTCCATTTTAATCGCTATGCAGAAGGAAGTGCACCTGTGTTTTATAGACTACGTAAAAGCGTTTGACAAAGTATGCCACAAAGATCTGTTGGAACTGCTCAGCAATCTTGATATATTTGGGAAAGATATTAGAATAATCAAGAACCTATACTGGCAGCAAACGGCCTGCATGCAGATAGAGAATAAGTTCAGCACATATATTAGGTTGATGCAAAAATAATGACGTAATAATGTCGTTTTGACGTTAAAAAATACGTCAATAAACGACATTATTACGTCATTATTTTTGCACCAACCTAATACAAAAATAGAAAGGGGTGTAAGGCAAGGATGTGTCTTCTCACCGGACTTATTAAACCTATACAGCGAGGCAATTCTGAGCGAACTGGAAACCCTACCAGGATTCATTATTGGCGGCCACAATCTTAACAACATAAGATACGCAGATGACAGAGTGCTGATAGCAGACACAGAAAGGAAACTACAAAACCTCCTACAGAAGGTAGCGAAGGAGAGCAAGGAGAAAGGACTAAGCATAAACTACAAGAAGACAGAATGCATGGTCATCAGTAAAAAGATGAGCCCAAAATGCGAGTTGCAGGTCGGGGACACTAAGCTCAAGCAGGTGCGGAAATTTCAATATCTGGCAAGTGTTGTGACAGAGGATGGTAAATGTGACGCTGAGATCCGAAGACGTATTGCGATGGCCAAGGACGCTTTCCAAAAGATAGGCAGAGTATTACGAGACAGGAGGATTTCGTTGGTAACAAAGGAAAAAGTATTGAACTGCTACGTCATATCTGTCCTCCTTTACAGCAGTGAACGCTGGACCCTCTCCTCAAAGATGAAGAAGAGACTCACGGCAACAGAGGCATGGTTCTACAGAAGGATGCTAGGGTTACCATGGACCAAGCGTGTGAGCAACAATGAGGTTTTGGAGAGGAAGAAAACAAGGAGGAAACTTATACTTAACCCCAGGAAGAGGCAGTTGAAATTTCTAGGACACGTCATGAGAAAAGAGGGCTTGGAGAATCTGATATCTGATACTCACATAGCGGACGGAGGGAAGGAAAAGACAAGGGAAAGCAACACGTTGCATGCTTAGTGGGCTTAAGCAAGTGGATGGCAGAACATGGTCTGGGAGAAGTAGCAAAGGGATAAAACATATTGAGAACTACAAGGGATAGTGTTATGGTGAAACACCCCTATTCTATAGTTAATAGACCCTCCCACCTAATATAAGTAAGAGTAGTAAGGGAAACCTGAGGCAGTCAGTCAGTCGACCGGCTGATCGGTTGAACTCTCTGCCTTCGAGCGGGAGGAACCCGAAAGAGGCTACGCCGAAGGGCGGATTCTCTTTCGGGGAGGTAAACTGACCCTGAACCCGTTTATACAGGTTCAATGGCATATTTTTGCCGAGCACACGGGCTCGGAGATCCCACATTAAAAAACCGGCCTTGTGCCACATGCTGCCCCAGTGTGTGTGTGTGTGTGTGGGTGGGGGGGGGACTGAATATCGTCAGTCTGTCAATGTCGGTCGACCGGCTGATCGGTTGAACTCTCTGCCTTCAGGCGGGGAGGAACCAGAACGAGGCTACGCCGAAGGGCGGAGTCTCTTTCGGGGAGGTAAACTGACCCTGAACCCGTTTTTACTGGTTCAAAGGGTATATTTTTGACCGACCCCACGGGCTCGGAGATCCCACGTTAAACCGGCCTTGTGCCACATGATACCCTCGTGGGGGGGTGACTAAATACTAGTCAGTCAGTCGATGTCGGACGACAGTTAGTCGAATACGAAAGTATCAGTGACCCCAAGAATATTTACTCTACGTAATATCTATTATATCAAGTTCCTAACGTTTTGTACGTCGAACCTATTTTAGGACCGACTTAGTACAAATACAAGCCTCCACTGCGAAATCACTCCACAACAGATAGGGAGAAGCGGAGAGCCATGATCGCCTACGTCCTGAAGGGACACGGCACATAAGACTCCTGCTAAAATATACACATGCAGTTCTTGTCGACATATTACATATTTCCGACCGGCACAATCGAATTGCAAGTATGATTTTTAAAGAAAGGCAGACAGGGAGGTCATTTCTACTAGTGAAAATAGGGGACCGCAACCTCCCTATCTTCGCCCCTAATTTTGTTCCTGTATCAAACTTAAATTTATTTGATCAATAATAAGCCAAAAATATATAATGATATCCCTTCATTTCTATACGATGACCTGGTTCTTAAAACCCTCTTCACTTACTTCCAATCTTTTTCCTTTTCCTTTTAACCGTTTTATACGAAGTGAGACACCTTTCACAAATTGGTGACTGTTTACCGTCTGCATTAATTAATAAATGGAGAGAAAAACTGGGTTCAACATTCTAGATTGAACTATTTTTTTGTGAATGGATCTAAAGCTATTAAGAAGGTTGTCAAAAGAGTGCAACTATAAATACCACCTCTTCGCCTACTCTTTTTAACTTTTCACAAACGATTTAAAAAAAAAATAAGAGCGTCTAAATGGCATCGTAATGTACGGAATATTCGTTCCAATCCCCCTTCCCGATTGATGAAATGGTTCTTTTAAGAAAACTTTTTATTTCTTTAAACCTATTCTTTTTATAAAGTGTCACTCAATTCTTCGCTATTTCAGTGTATTTATTTTTTAAATTGTACATTTTGTAACGACATGGTTTGATCAAAGATGTTGATGGACAGTGTGATCACAGGATCGTTTCTCATATTTTGTTAAAATAAACTGATTAAAGAAGACATGCGACGAAGTACAGGTCGCTAATCATTTGATTAAGCATACGTTATAGATTCATGCGACGAACAAAGTACACTTGATGCAGATGTGGATTTAGGGACTTGAAGCAACAGAAACTTTTTTCCCCAGATGGATATTGATAGCACCAATGATTGAACATGGGTGGGGGAGCAACGATGAAGTTTTAGAGAAAATGTAAACAAAGCGTACACTAATACAGTGGAACCTCGGTTCACGAATTTAATTCGTTCCTGAAGGCCGTTCGTAACCCGAAATGTTCGTAAACCGAAATTATTTTTCCAATAGGAATAAATGTACAGAAAAAAGTCACAGTACAATAAAAATGGAAAAGAAAACCACGACACAACACAACATGGCGCTCGACTTAGAAATGATTCCGTTCGGGTTAACTCGGTTCGGCAATGTTGTTCGATAACCGAAGCATTTTCATCTCGAATTTTCTGCTCGAAAAACGATTTGTTCGACACGTGAGACTTTTCGAGAACCGAGGTTGCTCTCTACTTAGAATCAAAAAGAGAAAATTGACATTTCTAGGGAGCCTAATGAAGAAATTAGGCTTGGAGAATTTAACACTGACGTGACATATAGAAGGCAAGAAGGACAGAGGAAACCAACGACCTAAGAAGCGTGTGTAAATGGTTGGCAGAATAAGGATTAGGAGAATCTGAAGAGATACAGCATATAGAAGAAGATTGAGTTTTTTTTGTTTCGTCGGCTTTATCTCATATACAAGAATTTAATTTCTTCTATAATCGATTACGTTATGATGATGGCGTTGATAACCAAATTCACCATCAACGTACAGGTTCAGAACTAGAAGCTTCGAGTTTTGCCAAAACCTGCTTCCGACAAGATTAGGTTGGAGGTGAAACAAAATCAGAACAAAAGAAAGTGCCGATGGCGTGAATTTAATTAAGGTCGACCTCAATTTGTCAGGAATTGACTCAGACACTTGATGTCACGATCTTCCTCTGCGACACATATGAAATGAGACGTACAGAATCCAGTTATGAAACTGCAACGGACTGTCGCTGATTCTGTTATAATTTCGAGTGGCGCCTTCTGTAGCATGTCCATAATGCGTAGCCCTCTTCATCCGATCATTCAACCGTTGAGATCTGTTGTAATCGTCATCCACTTGTTCCACCGTCTTTGGTCGCCCTTAACCTGGATTCTCGTTTTCAACCTTGCCGCCAAGGGTGTCCCTACCAGGAGTTTAAAACTCACAACGGTATCGTTCTCAGAGTCATTGATTGGGCGCGCTTAGTCTGGATTAGTTTAAGTAATAAAAACAAGAAAAAAATAATCAACTTAATTCACACGTAACAATGCCAATTTAATTAATACTGACCTTGCCCTTTCATGTAGAGATCGAAGTAGCCGTTCCAGTTTCCGTCATATTTATAAAAGTTTTGCATCTGGAAGATGTGATGGTAGGACGATACGATAATGTCGCGTGGGTTCCGCATTACGAAGAGAATTTTTGTCTTTTTGGTCAGTAATTCCCGGGGTAAGTGTTCCAACAACATGTGACTGTTGAGAACACGTGGTGAAGGTTGGGTATCGATAACATCTTGGTTGGTTAGTTCAAGCATCCCAATATCTTCCAGATTCTTTTCATATTCAGTGCAATTACGTCGCAACATATTGTAAATCTCCCAAACCCAATGACATCCTGGAAGAAACATAGAAATGGAAATAGTTATATTTGTTTGTTTTAAAATTCATGAATTATCAATACCTGAATTATATTGTATATTGGATAAGATTATGTAACTCATTTTCAAGTGTAGAATTTATTTTTAAAAATCCACACTAATGATTATATATATATATTAGGAACGATTTATTAAAATAATGCATCAAATATTTTAGTTATTCTAATGTCCATATATATATATATATATATATATATATATATATATATATATATATATATATATATATATATATATATATAAGTGAGCATTGAAAACACTCAGAGTCGAAAGGCTGTTTCATGCTAGACGCAATCGTTATCTCTCTTGTTCTACCGTTTGACTTTTTTTTTTTTTTTACTATCACAACAGTAAATTTCTCGTTACTTTCCGCCCTGTTTATATTGTCATAGTTTCTCTTTTGCTTTCTAAATCTGTATTTCTTTAAAAACGTCATTATGTTACGAAGCATATTAATAAAGCATTATGGGTAGCTATGCCAATCGAAAATGATTTCTTAATAAAAAAAAAAAACTGTATTTGTTTGCAGTTAAACTTCAAAGCGACTCCCGCCACCAGTTCTGATCGTAACCCAAGGTAGAATATATATTATAAGAAACATTTTTGACTAGTTATTTTTCTCCTATTCTCTCACTTTTGTTGCTCCTCGGCGTCAGTCAGTTATGCGCAATACGTAATACACGCCTAGATACATGACTGACGACGCAGATTTTTTTCCCGTAGCAAGTTGCTATTTCTTTCTGCAGTAGACCAGTTACCATCCAAGTCTATAGAACCCAATCTGTCCTGCTATTTACCCATAGATGGGGGAGGGGGAGAAGAAGAGAATTCATACCTTTCCCATTCACGTAAGTGAATATAATGGATTCGACTGGAATTCGAACTCGGCTCTCCGATTCCTCAACCCGAGTCGCTATCCATTACTCCACCGTGCGTAGTATTTTATAACTCGAGCCAGCCCTATCATCACCACTATCACAATAATCATTGTTAGGACTTACACCTTTTTTAATCACTTTTTACCATCATCATCATCAATTTTACAATTGTAATCATTTTCTACTCCTCTTCATCATCATTTTAAAATTTTAAGGACCTAATCTCCGCCATCATCATCATCATCATTTTACAGCTATAATCGTTTTCTACCCCCCAGTCATCAGCATCATCAGCATTTTACATTTCTAATCACTTTCTCGCCTCCATCATCATCATCATCATCATAGTAAAATTTTGAATGCCCTCCTCTCCTCATTCCTCCTCCACCTCCATCATTATCAATAGACAACTTTAATCATTTTGTCACCTCCATCATCACAGTCTTCCTTATTTTACAACTGTAATCACTTTCACTTCACCCCCTCCATCATCATCATCTGACCTCTTCTCGCCATCCTTACTCTCTTCCTCGTCATTTTACATCATTAATGATTTTTTCCCCCTCCATCGCCATAATCACCATCATTTTACAGCTGGAATACCTTTTTCTCCTCCATCATCATCATCATTTTCAAATTTTAATGATGATAATGATGATGATGAGGCTTTTACAACTGTAATCTTTTCCTCTAATTCAACATCACCGTCATAATTTTATAAATGGAATCACTTCTTCCCTTCCATCATCATCATCATCATCATCATCATCATCATCATTAGCAGCAGCAGCAGCAGCAGCAGCAGCAGCAGCAGCAGCCAGCTTTTTAAGCTGCATCCTCCTCCTCCAAAACCATCATCACTGCTACAATCATCACCTCCTTCCTTGTCATTGTCGTCACAACACTGTCACTATCTTATCCCCTACTATTCACAGAGGCGTAACACCATTGACGATATATTTTCTCGCTACTGTCACCATTCCACTCCCTCGTAAATGATTGCTACCACCATCACCGCTAATATTATTATATTACTGTCACCATCCATTCCATCCCTACCTGCGTCAATCTTCATTCATATCATCACAACAGTCAGTGCTTCCATCATCACAATCGCCCTGTTAATCAACAGCAGTGGAAACGTTAGTAATGAGGGCGGGTTCAAAAAACCGTACAATGAAAGATATCAATAGTACTAAAGGGTAATTATTAAGATGAAGAAGAAGAAGAAAAAAAATCCCCCTTCCATCGTCTTTCACATCGGCATATGTTCCTCTAATCCCTTCTCCGATTCCAAATCTCCGACCTCTGTTCCCCTTCCGACTTGTAATGTACACAGGGCCGTGGGTAGAGAGCAGGGTTCACGTCCGTAGCACTTTGTATTCAGTAACTCTAATTTGCGAATTAGGTCCATCAGCCGACATTTTCGAATAATAACGCTTTTCTTTTGCCTACTCTGCAGCCGTCATTCAACGCGATTTCCCCGGGATCGGGCTTTCTATTTTATTTGATTTTTTTTTTTTTTTTTTTTTAAGAATAGGAACGGGGTTTCCTCTATTCCTGTCCATGGCCTCCGCTCACCTTCTCGAAATTCATTTATGTCTGCCGTGCCCACTCCGCTTGTTCTTTTTCCTTACGGATCCCCCTCCTCTACCCCTCCTCCTCCCCCCTTCTTCTTCTTCTTCTTCTTCTTCTTCTTCTTCTTCTTCTTCTTCTTCTTCTTCTTCTTCTTCTAATTCGACTCCCAATAAGGTCATTTTCTTTCCTCAACCGTCGTTCCATTTTTAGAGAGCCAAAATATAAAAAAAAATAAAAATAAAAAAAGAAAATAATAGTAAAAAATAAAAACACTAAATAGAATTAATAAATGAATTCCTTCAATTACTACAACTATTTTGCTACTACTACTACTACTAAAACTAATATTATAATGAAGTAAGTTGTCTTCAAATGACTAACAATAACAATAATAATAATAATAATATCAATAATAATAATAACAATAATAATAATAACAATAACAATAATAATAATGATAATGATAACGTTAATAATAATAATAATAATAATAATAATAACAACACTATGCAATTCTATAGCCATCAGTAGTTATGTAGTGTAGGATTAAAAGCTGAAACCAAACACACAGAAATATTGTGTTAACCCGAAATGCAGATTCTGGGATGAATATCTGGAAACAATTGGCCATCTTTTATCAGGTTGCACGTCATGAGTATTCACCGAATATAAAAATATATTTGACAAGGTAGGCCAATATCTGCAACATTTACGGAAAGGAATCTGTAAGAAATCTGTATGAATATTACGAAGACATAGTTACAGCGATAACCATTTTATGGGATATTACAATACACACAGACAGAACATTCAAACCTAATCGGCCAGACATCGAGTATCAAAGACAACAAAAAACACAATGGGCTTCTTTTTTTTTATTGACATAGCATTTCCTGTAGATTTTAATGTATCGGTGAAGATCTTCAAAAACTATTAAAATACAAGGATCTTGAAGTGGACAATCGGAAAAATGTGGCACATGAGAACATTAATGATTTCAGTTGTAGTTTGATCCATAGGATTGATTGGGAAAGCTTCCGATAGATTCATTGAAGGGATTCCTGGAAGCAAATGCCTTAAAGAAAAAAAAAAAAAAAAAAAAACTGTACTCACAAGTACAGCACGTACATTACGAAAGGTTTTATCAATACAAAATATGTGTGATCTCCGTTTTATTTTTATATTTTTTTTTCCAAAATGATCAGTGGAAAAATGTCATGAAGCCATTTCTGATCATCAGGTTGAGATCAGGAAGGAAATGTTTATACAACTTTAAAACCTTGTTTGATTGTTAATCTTTCCATGGTTGAAATTGCCAAAGACTTAAGTTGTTAAATCTGAAAGAAAAAGAATAAAATCATTAGACGCTTAAACTTAATTCACATTTAAAATCGGTTAAAATTATTGAAACACCCTTTATACAGTCATCTGCAGACAGACTGTTTCGCTGTATCACAGTTCATCAGTGTGGCTAGACATGTGATTGCTTCAAGCCGGGATAGAAACCCGACCGACTTGGTATCACCTCTATGCTATCAGTACACGCTAGGAAGAAAGGGAATTTTTAACACATTATATACAAGATATATGCATTATCGGCTAATAGAGGGCTCGGTTCATAGCGAAGAGCTTAGCCTTAATCATCGAAGAAATTCTCTTTCTTTCAAAAAAGTACTCAACCCACAAAAAGTAGCATATATATATATATATATATATATATATATATATATATATAATCGACTCTCCCGTCGCGTTCGACGTATGAGGGTCAGGCCGATAAGTCCACAGGAAACCGACATCCCGACACCGGCACATGAGATTTGTTTATAGTGGTGAAGGCCTTGTGCAGGACCAGCCACACTTTTTGGAGGGACGAATACAGAAACCTCGTGCACCGAATGCATGCCACAAGGTTCCCAAACGACCCTCCGCAGGTAGGAGGCACGGTGGAGCAGTGGTTAGCGGCTTGGATTGAGGAATCGCAGAGCCGAGTTCGAATTCCAGTCGAATCCACTACATTCACTTACGTGCTAATACCCTTGGGAAAGGTATGTATCCTCTTCATCTCCCTCCAGCTATGGGTAAAATAGCAGGACAGACTGGGTTCTATAGCCTTGGATGGCAACTGGTCTAGGAGAAGGATATATATATATATATATATATGGTTGGATAGATGTGAGTATACATATATAATCAATTTATATATATATATAATCAATTTATATCTATCTCTCACTATATATACGGAATACGAGCACAAATGGGATTGATAGAATGATTTGTTTTATTTTACGGCTTATTGCAGATTATTTAAATCCGGAAAATATTTTTACATTCTATGAATTTTGGGGCGATAATAATGATTTATAGATACAATTCTTACAAATTAAGCCATAGATGGAGGACAAGAGGTGGATTCATACCTTTCTCAAGTATATGTGCGCGTAAGTGAATATAACGGTCACCCATCTAAGTACTGAGAAGTTTTGATGTTGCTTAACTTCGGTGATCGTACGAGAACTGGTGTTTCAACCTGATATGGCCATAAGCCATCACGAATGGATGGTTGCTTCCAAATTTGAAAATAATGTAGTTAATGTTTAATAATATAGAAAACGCTATATACGAGAAAATCGAACATATGACTATTATATCAGCTACTACTAGGTATAAGATAGCAGTAAGATTAAGATGAAAGAAAAATAGTAAAGAATTAATAAATTATTTATATAAAAAAATCGAACTTCTTATAACTATTATATGAATTGCTACTATGTTTAACATAATTGATTTAGAATTAAAAATAGTATAATTAATAATAAAGAAAATTAATTATGTAAGAAATTCGGACGCCTTATGATTATTACATCAATTATAACTTGGTATAGTATAGCAACAAAATTAGGATGAAAGAAAAGATAGTAAAAAATCAATATCATGCTTATTATAAAACCCAGGTTGTGTGTGTGTGTGTATGTGTGTGTCTGTACGTTTATATATTGGATCGTATTTCCTACATTTTTCAACCGATTTCAACAAAACTTCACAGGACTGCGTAAAATTAATTTGCGGTGGTTATGACAGCGCCAAAAATTGGAAAAACACAATTATTCTTGCACGAAATCAATTTGAAAACACGATAAAATACGATTCTGTTGCCAGAATGAAAGGGGGACAACTCATATCGAGTTATACTTATAAAACCCAGGTTGTGTGTGTGTGTGTGTGTGTGTTCATTTATATATGGGATCGGATTTCCTACATTTTTCAACCGATTACAACAAAACTTCCCTTTTTTTTTGGCAGGTAATGTTTCTTATTGTCTTGCACACTTTTTTCTTTATTTTTACATTCAGAATGCTTTAAAAATTCCATTTACAAGACAATTGTTTATAATAAAATTTTATTCAATCGGTAGACTCATAACGATTGAAAACAATGTTTTTGTTTGAGTTTGGGATTGACTAATTCGTAAAAAAAAAAAACATAACAAAAAAAACTAATTAAGACATGCGTGTCCGTCAACCTTAAACAATAATCTTTGTGAATTTTATTTTTCAGTCTTTATGATGGTCGATACTTGATCTATCTCTTACTGTTACATCCCCGGGCAACGCCGGGTTCTACCGCTAGTAATAAATAAAATGCCTTCTTTCCGAAAATTGGACACATTACTTGTTGTAACCTAAGGAAGCTTACTGAACAGAATAATCGCACGAAAGTTGGTAACGAACGATAATACTTAGGACAAGAACAACACATATAAGATTCGCCATCGACGCGCAGAAGCAGTAGTCAACTACTAGAAGTAAGTCAAGTGAATTCCACAATGAATTTCCAACCGCTGACCAACACATACAGCATTCGATACTGTTTTTAAAGGAATGAAGGCATACCCATTAGCGTCCGTAGGTATGCTACAACATTACTATAGTTACACCAACTAGTAATATCATAACCTACGAAAAATAGGATGAAAGAAAAATAGTAAAATTAATAATCATAAAAATGTTTCATGTAAGAAATTTAGATCACTTATGACAATTATATCTACTGTTGCTACAAGTTATAAACAATATCGAAAGTTAAGTTAACGAAAAAAGACTAAAATCTATTTATATAAGAAAATCGAACATCTTAAGGTCTATTATATCAACTACTACTAGGTATAAGATAGCAACTAATTTAGAATGAAAAATGATAATGAGTCATATCTGAAAGAGAAATGTTACAATTATCGTTTTACGTACAGCGGATGAAGATTTAATGTATAAGAACATTCTTCTGGGTACAAATTAATTTAGCAAATAAACTATTAATTAAAATCATTGCAGTTAATGAATATGCATTTTTCTCGATCTGTCAGACAAATTTGACATTTGCTGAATTCATTCCCGTCATTTTTTCTTTAGTCTCGCCGTTTACGATTCAAGAATGAGGCGTTAATACATTTAGCGAAAATATCATGAAAATTAATGTGTTTTTATTTTCGACAATTGACCGGATGACTTTTTATGAGTCTTTGTGGGATCTTATGGTTTCACTTAGAATCAAATCGGAAAATTAAAAAAAGGAGCTTTTATAAAAAAATATATTCAAAAACAATCTGGAGACAGGCTTTCATTCCCTAAATTAATCCATTATCAAAATTAATTAAAATACAAAATATTTTAGAATTAAAAAAATATAATAGGAAAAATAAATAAAAATACAAAGTTTTCACCTAAAAATTCGGATGACTTATGAGTATTATATCAATTATTGCAAGGTGTAACATACCAAAAAATTAGGATAAAAGAAAATATAATAATAAATTACTAATGAAGAAAATACTTTATTCCAGAAAATCGAACGCCTTATGAGTATTATATCAACTATTGCTAGGTGTAACTTAGAAACAAAATTAGGATAAAAGAAAAAATAATAATGAATTACTAATGAAGAAAATACTTTATTCCAGAAAATCGAACGTCTTATGAGTATTATATTATCTACTGCTAGATGCAACAAAATTAGAATGAAAGAAAAACAAAAATTTAGATTAAATACTTTGTCTAAAAAATCGGACAACTTATGACTATTATATCAACTACTACTAGATATAAACTAACAAAAATGAAAGAAAGAAAACAGAAAAATGATTCATGTCGGAAGTTAG